CGAGTGCCCCTGTCGGTCATTTTGGCCAGCCAATCACTTACCGCGGTGCCCTCCGGTGCCCTGCGGGTAGGTTACTGTACCGCAGGTTTTTACCGCGCATTTTGAATGGCTACATCTGTATGTGATGTATAGAGTCTTACTAATTGAGTAAGGACAGGGGGAAGAGAATTTTCTGGGATTTAGCAAACCTAATTACTTCCAGTACTTTTTACAAAAGTCATTAAAAAATCACCAGTAAAGCATTTATAAAATGAATTAAGAGGCAAATCCCACTAGAGCATAAGGGTTGGATTGAGTATTTATGAACAAACATACATCCATCTGTAATTACTGAATAACTACTCAAAATGAGATCTGAGTTCTTTGTTAAATTGAAATGTCACTTCATATCCATGTTTATAAATAAACACACAAATAAGAGTACTTTTTAAGCTTTCTAACACATTTTATATTTGCAAGAAAGAGTCACTATAATAACATTTATGACAACTCAAAGTGCTTGTAAAACTGCACATATTGAAGACAATTGATTTAATCACTGGAATTTTAACTGTAATTATGTACAAAGTGAAAACTTTCAGTGCATCTGGCAACAAACTTTCTGTAATTATTTTTAATGCTTTAAGCATATTGGAAAAATCACAATATAATGAAAACTAATATTATCTGAATTGGGAACCGATGTGAAATATGGAAAAAGTAGATTTATGGATAGAGTTATGGATAGTGAAGTATGATTTTTTTTTTCCTTTTTGACTTTTGGCTTTAAAATGGGAATTGACAAAAACACACATCTTATTAGTGGAGATAAAATATAAAAAAATAAAATACAAAAATTTAGCAATGCACCTTACCTGGGGTTATTCTTTAATGTATTTACTAAAAATTCATGCAAGTCAATGCCAGTGGTGTCCGTATATTCTTGGCTGTGATCTGAAACAAAAGTAGATTTTATCATATACGTTAGTATAATACTGTAGTTTCTCTACTTTCACGTGACAACTTCATAGTATTTAAACATAAGGGAATGCAAACACTCCAGCTGCAGGTCTCAATAGAGATTTCCTATCTGTCTATCCAGGAGGACCAGAGGAACCTGGCTTCGGCATGACCACCAGAGGCTAGCCAGAGGCTGCTAGTCATTGGATTCAAAGACCAGTGCATTAGCGTGTGGTCAATATATACCTAGAACTAGGGCTGGGTGATATATCGAAAATTTATCGAAACTGACTTTAAGAATGTCTCACCGACCTAATTTTGCTTGTCGGTATGTACGGTAAAAGCTTTCCCCACTGTGCACTTTCATGAGCGGTCCCCTTAAAAAAACACCCAGTCATCATATCCAGTCACATGCTTCTGCCTCGTCCAACCTTCGTTCTTCATTCAAAACACAAAGAAGCGTGCCGGGCACGAGACAACACGTGTGCTCATGCTAAACCCCAGTCAGTCAGTCAGACTCAAGTACAAATGAAGACAAGCTGGTATCTAAAAATTATGCAGTGTCGATCGTTTGGTCATATTTTGCCTTCAGCAAACAGGATGCTGAAAAAAGATAAGTCAGATGTAAACCCAGTCTAAAAACTGTTTCTGCGCCTAATGTAACTTGAGCAATTTGTTTCATCACTTGAAACACAACCATGAATACGAAGAGTGCATGGCCGAAAAAAGAGAGAGACTGACAAGAGAACTCATGGTCGAAGTGATTCCCCCAAATAGCTGTCTCTACACAAGCATTTACTAATGCCACTCATTACGCAAAAGATTCACGCAAATGTAATTGAATAACTAATGACATTACATACTACATAGCAAAGGACATGGTCCCCATTGCTACAGTGGAACACAGTGGTTTCAAAAGAATCATTCAAACCCCTGACAAGAGATACGTTGTGCCCTCGAGAAAATATTTTTCTCAAATTGCAGTGCCTGACATTTACAAAGCTTTAATAGTAGTAATAGTTTCACATATTTAAAACATGATCTTTCAGAATATCATGTAATCATATAATTTCCAGGGTTTCCAAAAAATTATCGTAAATTTATTGTTATCGAGGTAAATGTGTGAAATTATCGTGATATTGATTTGAGATCATATTGCACAGCCCTACCTAGAACTACAACCTCTAGAGAGCAGTGCTGCAGAGCTCAAACACGTAGATCACCCCTATCTTTGCACACAAAGAGGACTGGGGTTACGGGCTCGGAGTGTTTTCAGTACTGGATTCTGGAACATCATTGCATAGCAAGATGGCAAATGAAATCCAACACTGCCTTGTAAGCAACTTTGTTCTTTCCTTGAATTTAAGGCTGGCAGAAAGCTGTCTACTGTACGTTAAGTTTCAGAAACACACTGTCCTGTCCTACGTCCTGACAGCAATCAGCAATACAAGTGGGACTGAGTAAAAATGTTATTTCTGTTAAAGGAGTGATGTTATTTTAAACAAGAGAGATTTTTCTATATATGATTATCTGTGTTTATGTGGTAAAAATGGAAGAATCTTTGATATTTTTGCTTATTCTTTTTTTACCTTGGCTTCATTTATAAGCCTTCTAAAGGTATTTAAATATTAATATTTGAGTATTTTTTTTCTGTCAATGGATGTCTTTTTTCCTCTATCTGTACAGTATGTATATTTGTGTGTCTTTGTTTTTTCTTGTCATTTAATAAAAAAGTAAACATAAAATAAAAATAATAAAATAAATTGGACATAAAAGAAGGTGCAACAAATGACTCAAACATTTTTAAACTAGTAATAGTAATGTGACCCTTTGGGTCATCTTTACTACATTTTGTAGCATGAACTACATTATGTAAATCTAAAATGTGTCCTTCATAATTATGATTTCAGTAGGGAATGTGTGGCAGTAGAAAATATTTGTTTTTTGAGAGGCACAAACTTGAATTTTTCAGAAACTATTTCTATATAGGGTGTTTGGAACTGTGTTAAATCTACTAACACTGTAAAATCGGTTCCTTTAAAAAGTCTACTTATATTAAAATTCAATTTTTCTGTCATATTTCAGAAACAGTCTGACAAGTGCTCTTGTACCTATTCCCGCCTACAATCCCCCCACGCACACCCACTCTAACCCCCATCCCAATCACACATAAAGCACATTCTGAACACTCATATTTCCCCTTAAGCCTTATTTCAAAGAGGTACAGTATATCCCATATTCATTATAAACCTGACAACCATACATGTGCATATATTTGCATAAACAAAAGGAATATACTGTATAAAGGCATTTAAAGGACATACTTCTTTCTTAAGTCTAAGACTAACTCATTCACTAATTACAGGATTTGGTGAGCAAGCAAATCTGTGGGATTAATAAAACAGAGAAAAATCTATGGTAATAATAGCTCCTCACAATATTACTGATTATGTCTTGGAAAACCAAGCATTATAATAGATTACAATAATCAATGGACACAATTATTTTATTAACTAGGTAACAGACCGATATTTAGACTGGCAGATACACTAATGACTTTATTTTCTTTGGATGCTGAAGATTTTTCTTTTAGTAACTTAGTCATTGGTGTGAAAAACTGGTATTCAAAGGAAAATGAGCAACTCTGAATCAGGGGTTTGAACTGTATTTTATAACTAGAATAGTCAATACATTTCTCACCTTTTGACAGCATTCTTGTTTTTGGTTTTTCATTTGATTTGTCTTTCTCCTTGTTCTTGTCTTTCTCCCGGTCCCTGTCCAGTTCATCTTTGCAGGGTTTACTATCTTCCTGAAAGCTAGGCAAGCTGGTAATTTGAAGTTGAATTGATCCCTGAAATGCAAAATGTCTTAATCAAAACAAGTAAAAGTATAATTTATTCTTTATATATTAACCTCTCTAATGTATCAATACCACCTGTCAAACAATAATTTATCTGATGACTAATAACTTTGCTAAAGTGTAAAGCAAAGGCGTTATTACTATTATTAAGCATTAATGCATATGTTTGTGTAATTACAGTGTAGCTACACCAATAGCCCAATTGAAATACATACTTTGTTTAATGTGATAAAAACACAATGATTTTGACTTTACATACACTTTTTACATAAATGACTATTAACTCAGTGACAAAACCAGTAAACAAAAAACTTGCAAAACTGTGCAAAATGCAAAACTGAAAAACTATATCAAAAACATAAATACATTTAAAATAGTGGATGAAAAGAAAGAAACAACTACTGTATGAAGAAAACTAATCTGTTCTAAAGTACTAAGCTGGTTAGACTCCAATGCTCAACATTATAATGGAATGTGACTTTTTCTCCTAAAAACTTCTAAAAGGACATTGCTTTTGAAAAATGGAAAACATTGCATCTAACCAGATGCAAAGAGACCCAAATAATTTATTCTTGAGAACAATTTTTTGAAAGATGCAGATATTTTATTCCTTTTCAAAAGTTTTTTTTTTTTTCCTGTTTAAAATAATGACTTCCAGGACTAAAAGACCTCAGAAGCAAATAATTTCTGTTTATGTGAAACTGCAGACTGGATTAAAAATTTATACCATCACTGCAGCTGTGCCATTTTATTGAACTTTATGGCAGCATGACTCCAATTGGTAACAAGCAGAAGTCATTTCTAAACAGCTAAATGAATAGTGTGAACACCAGCAGAAGGCAGCCACAGTTTCCTCACAAGGCAATTGTACAAACAGCTAGATTGAACTCATTCAAAATCTTCAATGGCATGTAGTCAGAAACTAGTGACAGCACCATTATGATATATCAATGATGACTCCTTAGCTAACTACAGTACACGCAACACACCACAGATATTGCTATGAAATTAATGGATTCATTCTTAATATTGATGCACACTACAATTTATATACCTACCTAAATATATAATATAGTAATATATATGTAATATTATAGAACAGTAAAACAATACATGTATTAAAGTATGTGCATGTACACAAATATAAACACCAAGAGGGGAAAAACTATTCAAGATGACACATGAATATCCAGTAGTGCAAATTACATCTGTATTAGTCTTAAGAACAGCAGATTTTTAGATAAATTCCATAAAATAAACATGAACACAGAACTGATTAAGAAAGCAGCGAAAGGTTTTAGAGGTTAATTAAAAGTAACCAAGGGTAGCTAATTAAATTTGTCTGTGTAAACCAATAGAGAGTAGGAGAAACAGACTTGAAACTAGAGCAGACACCTCTGGCAATACATTTAAGAAGAACATTTTTTGGGGGGGCAAACAAAGAAGTTGCTGGAACTCTATTATTGCAATAGTCTTGCAAATGGGAAGGATTGCAGAAGCCAATGCAAATTTGTGTCTGAATGAAAAATACATCATTAGGCCACATGGTTTGGACTCTTATTGGACTACTGACAAAATTTTAGAACTTTTGTCCAAACCAACTCAAGAGGTTGTTATTTCTGTGATAAAAGCATACGTCCATGAAAATGTGATGGGATTCTTTCTTAAATAAGGCTAAAAACCAATATAATATAATGGGGGGTCAGGCTAATGAAAAAAAAAAAACTTGGTGTATTTAAAGAAGCTCATGCTATACCTCAGGATTGCTGATGCAAGCTGCTGTCTTATAAAACACGGCGGCCAAACAAATACAAGGATTCACAAATTTGCATGGGTTGTATTATAACTAATGATGCAGTACAAGGGTTAGCATTGCAACTTGGTCACAAGAGATAAGTCACAAGATATGCCCCCATCTTATCCTCTTTAAAACCAATTGAAACACAATTCTGAAACATTTTGCATAATGTCACCTCATGTCCAAGTTTTATACTTCCTAAGGGCAGGTGGATTTCTCATATGCTTTAGTCACTATTTCCAATTTGTCAAAAAAGTTCACACAAATTTTTCTATATACAAAACATGGTACGGATCCAGCCATTCAAAAAGCACGGAGAACGCTGCGCTAAAACGCAGTAGGCGTGGCGCATCTTACCACATTATACCGCATGCAAATTGAATTACGATAATAGTATCCGGAAGCACCTTGTAAAACCGCCAGGTGGAGCTTATAAAGCTTAACGTCTCATGTACAGCATTTGAGCTGTTGCCAGAAAACACCCGGTTTCGAATCCCGGTCACTGCAGAGGGACAATCTATTTCCAATTAAGAATTTAAGTTGTATACTTTTTAGACTTTTAATAATTTTAAACTGTGTATTACAGCATGTTAATCAGTAAACATTAAAAAGTCGGTATATTTTATAAAAGCAAGATTGCTCAGTTGGACAAAAGTACACAACCTTTCACCATCATCATAAATATTTTAATTAAGCATAAATATTTTATGCATCAAAGTTTTTAACTTGATAAATTAGTGGGTTCCGGTTTTAAAGTGCTTGTTCTAACATTATTATTCTTATATTGTGTACTTCATAAAAAGTTATAATGTTTTATCCTTTTCTAAGACTATGTAGTAAGAACATCAGTTGCTGTTATTGTAAAAAGATAAATGTTGTAGATTTACAACAAGTGATTTAACATCACTTGATAGTTATATGAATATGGAATCATGTAACTAAGCAGCTAAAATATCACAGGTGGACATTTTGGAAACATTTTGACATCTGTTTCTTTTTTAAAAACTTCTGTTGTCCTTGTAGTGGTAATGGATAAAGCACTGCACCCAATGGTTCAAAGCACAATCAGAGTATTACTTTCGGTTTGTTTCTTATATAGTGAATACATAAAAATAGTCCACTATTATAGCTTGTTTTGGGCTATGTCGTTAATTTGTGTATCTGGATAAATTAAGTGATGGTACGGTGATTATGGATTTTTTCACGAAAAAGTTAAACAAAGGAGGGAAGAAAGGTTATTTTTACAATTGGCACTCTGAGATTCTGACTGATTTAATTCCCCTCATTTAGTTGAAACGGATAAAGAAACCATGCAGTAGTTACAGTAAAGGAACAAGTAATAGGTTTATTCCAGGTTTATTCTGAAAAGAGAAGAGAGAAAACACAGCGCTTCAGCTGTGAAGCCTTCTTCAGGTGTGAGCTATTACCGTATTACTCGTTCCTTTGCAGACTACGCATGCTGACGCAGCTACCCACCTGAAATAGTTACAGTATATGTATTGGAAGGTGCTCTGTTTTATTAACAGACACTCCGACTCAAACAAGTGTTGTACAGTGATATAGACATGGGTAATGTCATCCTCATTAAACAATGTGCTTATCGCACAAATCCTGCTAAACTAAAAATTAAACACAAGAAGAGTATTATTGGACAATGTATTGAGGCTCTGGCAGAACGTCATGATTGTTTCGCAAGGATGTGAAACGTGATAATTTGTTACAGTTACCATTATAAACCAAAGCAAACTTTCTTTTATTTATTTGTGGCTGCTGCAGCAGCTTGCAATGGGTGGATAGTGAACAGTAGGGAGAGACACATATGAAAAAAAGTTAATCCCAGCTACACTACAAATATATTTTGGTGGTAAGGGGGAGCAAAATCTCAGTATTTACTGCTAGTAATCAGTGTAAGATTTTTAGTTGAAATCTGAGCCTAAATATAAAGGTAAAATCTCGACAAACAAAGCAATGTAGGAAATGCGCACTTTTTCTGCAACGGAAATACACATAGAAAATAAAACCTTTCTGACATTTCAAATCAGTTTCGATCAAGGTCTCCAAAACGAACAGGAAAAAGAGCATTTTCAGAAAGAAATTATGTTGTGTTTATGTAGAATAAGTGATTAGTTCTAATCTAATTTCTTTTTCTTTTAAACAGTGACATTTCAGCTGCAAAAGATCGCACCAGAGACAGCACCATCTCTGCTTGTCATATATATGGTAAGGGTGAATGAAATAAGTCTACAAATTAAGGCAAATGAAAATTTAGGACATCAAAGTGCTAGAGGTGTAAATAAATATAAGTAAAAATACAAAAATACACATGAGCAAAAAAATGTAGAAATGGAGCCATGACTAGACATAGTGCAGAAGAGGGATGCAGGAACACTTGCAAAAGCTTAGATGTACAAAACAAATCATAGAAAGGTGTGTGTTACAAAATAACATGCAAACATGAAATAGATTTGGCAGAGTGAGGGGCTTGAAAAATCAGGTGGATTTCTGGCAGGGGGAGTATGAAGGTTTGAAAGGATAGAGTGAGAAAATTAGCACACATAAAGAACAGCAATTCTGTCAGAGAGCCTTATATGAATCAACAGCAAACATGGTTTAATGGAGGGCTTTTCAGATTGTTGGGCATTCAGGCAGATTACCAGGCGAAAGGATTTGTAAATATATTTTGTTAAAGCAAGTCAGTTTTTTGCAACACATAAAAGACAGTTTTCCAGTAAAGTTTAGCTTTTGTCACTAATGAAAACTACTAAATAAAGACATATAGAAATCTAAAAAAAAATTATTCAATGGAGCAGGAAGAACTGTCAGGTTGAGTGTATATTTTGTTGCAGTTGCTGCAAGATGTTAACAGTGAAAAGAGGTATTTAGAAATGACTAATTTCAAGAAGATTTTCAGAATAATTATAAATCTAGCAGGATAGGGAAAGTACAGAAAATAGGTAGTTAGATTGATCAGATTAGTATCAGAGTGGAGTGGAGTGGAGTGGAGTATGCAAAGCCATTTAGCAAAGAGGGTGTGAGAAGAGTGACAAATTAGTATACTTTAGATCTTTTTTTCTGAACCAGGGAAAATCTGATCATGTTTCTCTATAACAATAATTAAAAAACTTTATTTTACATAGCACCATTAGTAGCATCTCAAAGCAATAGAGTAGATGTAAAAACAGTTACAGTATAA